ACTCTCCTCCTTCCATTTTCAGATGATGGATTGAATTGTTAACCTTGTGGTTTGATTTATAACCCTAAACATGTCTGTGAGCTCCTTCTTGATTACAAACCTCTAATCCCTTCACACAACAGCTAATTCTTTCTAAGATCGAATTAAATGTTACTAATTTGGTGACTTCCAAAAGCAACTGGATTTCATTCAGTGGTAAAGTGTAGAGATTACAAATACACACCAACTCTTGTAAAATGGGTTTATCTCTATTGCATAAAACCAAAACTGGATTCACGTTCTTGTCTTCTGCCTACAACTTGGCACAGGAGGTAATAAAGTGTCAGAAGTAACCATAATTTTGGCTGTGAGGTATAATTTCAGCTTGATCCAAGTCCAAAGCTCTGACTCATGATGACATTCTCAAATGCACCTGCATCAAATAACTGCTTTTCGACCCATTATTGGTGACGGCAAGGCCCATTTTTAGACGGCAAGGCCAGCTTTTCTTTGTGTCTTTGTGCCAAGTGGCCACAACACCAGGAAATAACTGTGGAAGAAGTCAGACTCTGTGACTGCACGTATTTTAAATAAAAAATAGCTCACCCTTTGTCTCTGCACATACAAGGTAATTTATTCCCGGTTCTCCTTTTTCCTCCCGCCTGCGTGGCTGAGAGAAACACTCTCTGCGCTGTTGGATGAGGTTAAAAATTATTTAAAAACCCGAGCTTTCAGCATCCTTTTCTCCCCCTCAGACATGGTTAGAGCAGGTTTTTGACTCTACAACCTTGGTTCTTCTTGGAAAAAGAGAAAAGAAATAGAAAACCCACTCACGCTGGAGAGGCATGTCTTTGAAAACAGATTCTGGAAGGCCATTAAGAATCTGCCAAAATAATTTGAGTAAGGGTCATTTTACAAAGGAAGAGCTAACTATGGCTTTATCTGAAAAATAGATGGCAGAGCGTGAATTGCACCCAAGTTTGCCACCAGTTGATGGGGAAGTGAAAAGAATAACTGACTTCAGACTCGAAAGATATTTATTTTAAAAGTGAAAAGTGCATATTAAAAACCATGATAACACTCAGTAAGTCTACCAGATTTATTCAACATGTTGATTTTCATATGTTGTCCCCAGCAGATAAAAGGACACCGCCTATTTTAAATCTATTTTATTTGGTACAATGCACACTAATTAACATTTTTGGAATTGCCAGAATTAGCCTAAAGGCTGTTTATCTTCCATTTTTCCTGTCTATTCATGTCTTTTTTTCATAATTTTTAGGAAAAATGCAGCTTGGGAAGTTGAGATACATACTTGACACGCTATTGGTTGGCCTTTGCAAATCAGCCAATCCAGGAGTGCAATTAATATTCCTTGTTGCTGATTGGCTGTACCTCCAAACATAAAAATAAGCAAGGCTTTTGTATAGAACTTTTTAATTTAAGTTGAATAGTAAACTGAGCTTAAAGCAATGTTTGATAATTAGGATCAACTGACACTGAAACCATCTTTTGTAAAGTGCGATATATAAATAAACTGAATTGAACTGAATGAGTTTTAATCAAGAACTAGGTTTTGCACTAAGGTGACGTTGAGACAAAAGAAATGAAAGACGCCTCTGCAGATGTTCAGTGTGTAAAAAAGCATTAAATCGAGCACAATTTGCAGAGCAGTACCGGTTCCCAAGTTTCTCCATCCTACACTTCTTCATGTCAACCTGCTATGCCATCTTAAGACCTGACGTGATGCGTTAAACCCAACCTGTGCTTCATCAATCATGATGCGCTTGTAATCAAATGGTGGAATTATGAAAAATGGAGCCTGTCATAAGAACGTGCCTCTGTGTGCGGGATGCTGCCGACTGTCAGACTGCGAGGCCACTTCCACTTCATCAAACAAAGTCCTCCGCTCGGATTTTAAGACTCAATGCAAGATTAAATTACTGGTTAAAATGCAAATTCCTTCGCACTGCATCCCCAACCTGAGAGAACCTTATGTGAGTGCCGGTGAATTACATCCAAAGAGGATGAAGTGCGGTAAACAACTTTACCTCATGCTTGGCCTTGACATCGCATCTATTAATCATTAATTTTCTTTTTGTCTGTCTTGCTCAGCATCTGTCATCTGCCTTGTGTCTGGATGCTGAGCTGGTGTTATTAATGAATCCAAGCACATCCCCCTAATGAAACTGTCAAACGAGTTTTCAAACCAGCATTCTGCAGATGTATGGACGAGTGATGAGAACAATTTCTATCAAATTTTATAGATACTTTGATGTTGGCGCCTCTAAAAACAATTGTCTAATCCACTGAACGTTTTAGGACTTTGTCATGTGGTCACCTCAAACCTCTGTGTATCTACTGCAGTCAATTACTGTGAAGGGCATTAAGTCTGATACTTATTTGTCTTATCAGATGGAAAACCGTATAAGTGTGTATCACTTTACAGTTTTCTTACTTAATACCCCAAATACGTTGTGATAAAATGTGTAAAAAGGTCTGAATACTTTATGTGTAAATATATTGGACAAAGTGTTTTAAGTTCTCGATAATAATGTAAGAGTATGAATTCCAAGAGTTTAAAACTGAAGCCTCACAGAAAGAAATTGCACTTAAATGCATATTAGTATAATTTTAGGCGGCGCTGTAGAAGTGGTTGCTTATTTTTTGCACAAAATAAATATACCAAATTCACAAGAGTCATTGTTTTCCCTCTGTTACTTATATGTAGAAACCACTTTCACCTTCTTCCCCTGAGGAAGCTGCCGTCACCTGAAATTAGTGTGTCAGTTTTTCTACTAATAGGTGCTGGTGGCAGCTCCAGTCAGGGAAAGTGTCTTTCAGCTGTTACTTAAATCTGAGTTCTCCTGACAATCGTTTTTCTCATTAACTAATGTTGTGTGTCATGTTATTATAGTTTGGGTACACAATAAAAATGTAAAAACAAATTTTGTGACTATACATGTAGGGTTTTCATATTAAACAGTCTAAATGCCATTAAAAGTCAAATTAGACCTGTTGTGTAGTTTAAATTTCTATAAAAGATGATTTATTGTTTATCTTGTAGGGATGCAAATCTTTCGGTGTCTACCCAGTCGATTCCGATTTTTAGGGTCACAATTCGATTCTGAAATCAATTTTTCTGTCCAGAGATTCTGCTTGAATTTTGTGACTGATAAGATTCTGTAGCTCAAAGCAGTTTTGGTACATTTAAAAAAAAATCATTAAATGTGCTCTCAGAGTATTATGGTACATCTCTGCTTTTGAATATTTCATTAGGAATTCATATACAAGATGCATGACAGATAAACTTCATGCTGATCCAATTTCTGGCCCAATTACCGTGCTGTGTAGTCACTCCCTGCTGACCCAAAGATCTTTTTGTGCCATTATTATCTTTTCTTTCTTCAAATATAAAGGAAAAAAAAAACATTTCTTAAAAGTATAAGGATAACAATGTCTCTTAGTACTCAGATGTTTTGATGAATCTGTATTTTAAGTTCATTGTGTCAAATGTTCAAAATTACAAACTTCTTCATCATCTTCTTCTTCTTCTTCTGTCTGTCAAACCTGTCATTTCTGAGCAGCTGTGTCTTCTGAACTCTCACTGATCTGAATGTCTATTAGTAAAAGAAAAATCTCCTTTTGAAGCTCTTGCAAACTGAAAACAAAAGATTAAAAAGAGAGTAAAAAAAATCCTTTTTACATATAACATATCAGTCTGTGGAGCTTCAAAGGCATCTATATCCCCCTTTTTATAGCTACTTATCAAAGAAAAACATATTTTGCCCAAATCTGAGCAGATTAAAGCAACTTTTACAGCTGACTTCAAAGTAAGCATAGGCAGGGGGAAAATATCTCTAGTATAATGACTTTACACGTTCAAGCTTTTATTAGTTTGCGTGGTGAAGAGCAGAAATACTCCTAAAGACTTCCTTGTGCTCTTCTGGTACAAACAGCCGAACTCTTGTTTTTTCCTCAGGCACAAATACAGAAAGATCAAAGATAACGTTAAAATTTGGAGATGAGCAAAGCAAATCACATTTCTACATTATGAGGATGAGCTCTGGGCGTCTAGCCTCAGGTTTAATATAAAAGGCCCAGGTTGTGTTTCAACTCTAACAATGGTTCAGTAATTATAAAAAAGGATAATAACAAAAATATCAATGTTCAGTGCAGCTATTCAGCAAAATGTGTTTTTTTTTTTAAGAAAGCGTTTTTGTGTAGTGAATTTAGTCTTCAGATGTCAGTCAGGGTGCAGAAAGCAGAGCACAGAGAGTAAAATAAAGGAGGAGGACATGAATATCAGGACTCCAGAGTGATTTGTTGGGTGGATGAGCAACATTTTTACAGAATCTGACTTGGATTCAGGAACATTTTCATTCAGTCAAAAGCAATTTTCACTTGAGCTTATAGCTTTGTCAGAAGATGTCCCAGATGTTTGAGCCTGACTCTGGTGATCCAGGAGGCCATGATGCTGATGCAGAGCAATAATAAAAACGACAGCACAACTTAAACCGGTGCGAATATATTTATATTCCTCTTTTATTGTGCTGAGTTGTAGATGCCAGTCTGATGTACAGCTGAAGGTGTCCCTTCCAGTTCACTCTGGTCCTTTTGTGTCACTTCCTGTTTTGATCTTGATTTTTTTTTGTAATCTCCAATTTATCCAGAAACTTAACGGCATCCTGGTGTAGATTTCTGGCCCTCAGAAAATAATTCACAATTTATAATACCAAAAAAATTGACAGGTGAACTGCATGTTGTGTCAATTTGTCTAACAGAGAGAAAACTGTCATTTAAAACCAATCTTTTTTTATCTCTGGATATTTGTTAGTGACTTACTTCAATGAGAATTTTAATTGAATGCGACATTTAAGTCAGTCTTTTAGATTCATAACAGCAATTTTGGTCCAATGTCAGGATTTTGTCTTTAAACCTTTTAATTAAAACATCAAAGCAATAAAAAAAAGCATCTTAAGACTCAGAAGGTTTTTTTCTTGGTGGAAGAAACAGACACATTGAACTGACTGATAATTTTAATAAATGTGCTCCAGGTTACCCAAAGGAGATGATATAAACCTAAAATCAAAAGCATAACAGGAAGATGCACAAAACATAGAAAAAGGAACTAAAAACAATAAGATACAATGAAGATTAAATGAAAAGGTGTAAAACTCAGAGTGTGACATAAGGATTATTACTATTTTAACGGTTCAAACACCAAATATACCTTCATATGCATTATTATGGACCATGGAAAGCATCTTGGCTCAAGAACCACAGAATCCAATCAGAAGCGAGGAAAATGAAAGGTGCTCCTGGATTGGCTGCAAATAGAAGCTGAAGAAGGATTTGGCTTTCGCATTTCAGCTTCCCAAACAAGGGAGATTTTTCATGAATAATTTGGAATCACATTCCACAAATATCTGCCAACGCTGAACCTTGAACAGGTCAGCTGTACAACAAAGCCATCCTGTAATCGATTTATAAACCAGATCTGGGAACAGTTTCATGCTCAACTTAGTCGTGATTTAGGTGCAAACTGGAAAACCAGATCAGATCATCTGTGAGCTACACATGGCAGAAAGAGCAGCACATCTGGGCAGTGAACACAGACCACAGCTAAACGATTACTTTATCTGGGTTAAGACACAGAAGTATGAAATCCTGACTACCGAGTTTAAATGAAATGTAACACCTAAACAGTACAGATCAGACACCAAATACCCACATATGCTGACATCAAGTACTGTATATCCTTCTTCTTGAGTCATGGAGGTTTATTGCCAACATAACCAAGTGTTTTTCACCGTATTTAAAACTTAATGGGCCTCGCCTTCTTTTAAACACACATCTGTGTTACGTGTCTCTTGGCTTTGACCAAAGCAGGACTTTTTCTACTGATAATGGCCTTTGAAGCAGTCAGCTCCGCTGGTGTGGGTTGATCCAATCTACTTTTACATGTGTGGTTTCCAAATGAACATGCTTCACGTAGCTGAACAACCTCCTCAGCTTGACAAAAGCATCTTATCGTTTTCTGGTAAATGCTCAGCAGGTTAAACCAGGCGCGTTGAAGCATCGAAGAGGCGCTTTTCTGGTATCCTGGGTGAATCCAAAGGCTTCAAACTACTTTTTCCTCACTAAAACTTCCTGCTGTGTTCGGTTTAACCTGTTGTTTCCTCCCACATCCATCAGCTTTACAGCATTGATTACCTGATTAACATTTACTGGCCCCTTTACCGGATGGAGAGGCAGCTGGGCCTGGCCTGGATAAAAGAAGGAAAAGGTGCTTTACTTCATTAGCCGCAATGGACAGAAAGTGTGTGTGTGTGTGTGTGTGTGTGTGTGTGCGTGTGTGTATGTGTGTGTTCACCTGATTCAGGTCTAGAAGGCTTGGGAGAAGTTGCAGCACAGCAGGAGGACACCAGCTGGTCACACACTCTGTAAAAGTTGTGATTTCACCTGAACACTTAGCATGGGCGTTTCATCTGCGAAGGCCGGCTCTCTCTGGGACTTTGCTCATTAGGAAGGTGTTGCTTCTTCATTTCTGATGAGGACGCCAAGAGCACCTTGAAAAACATAACGCAGTGAGAATACGGTGGTCTCATGCTAACCGGATGAATTCAATTTAATAACATTCACAGAGTTTTCTTGGAATATTGATATTTCTCTGCTTTTGTGTATATGTTAATAGTAAATTTACATCCTTGTAGACAGCCATAATTAAAGAAAATTACACCCTGTATCACGTCAAGCTTGTAATGACTTAACAGCCTGTGGAGAATCTATATTTCATCCACTTGTTTCTGTCATAGAGGGAAATCTTCACCTTTTGGCCCAGTTCTCTCTTCGTCGTTGCAGACGCCGCACCAATCCACCTATTGATCCTTCCTTCCTTTTTTTATCATTTTTGAACAAACCCTGAGGTACGTAAACTCCTCCACTTTGGCAGGAACTTGTTTAAACACCAAATATACCTCAACATGCATTAGTTCACATAGTTTAGACTATTGTAGCACCACAGCAGATGATCACGTCTGGAGTTTTGGAGTGGCTGGTTTGTTAGTGAGCTCTTGAAACCAAAGTCAAATTCCTTGTTTTGCACACAACCTGGAATTTCTAAAGACCTGGAACATCAACCATGAACATTCAGCTAAAGCTACACTGGAACAGTTTGAATTAAACTGTTGGAACGGCCTAGTCAATGTCCAGAGTTAAATCTGGGTAGAAATCTGACTCTCCATCTAATGTGAGCATGAGCTATTTTGCAAAGAAGAATGTGGAAAGTTTTAAGTTGGTATAATTTGAAATCCAAGTTTGTAATTTCACAATGCCTTATGTTGATGTGATGTATTATCCCTACTACTTCTGAAGGGATGAAGGTTCTGGTTTAGGAGTTGAAGTTTAGCCATGCAATGAGTTAATGTCATGGGTTTCCCCTGCTTGGTTTGGCACAAATGATGCACAAACTGAGTATTAATATGACTGTTTTCTGCTTTAAAACATCCACAAATCATTTTATTTGCATATTCTCTTTTTTATGCAAAAAAGAAAAACAATGATGGCAAACTCCGTATTATGCTTATGTGAGCGTTCCTTGAAACTCTTTATAAGACCAGATGCTTGTTCAATACTTGTGTATTAGCAGAACTGAGACGTTGAGGCTTAAGTGGCCTCAAAAAGGTGGGAAAAAAATTCAGTGGAAAATCTAAAATCAAATGTATATTTAATCAGAAAATGTCAGAATTTCAATGCAGTTTTGCTGAAACTATATGAAACTATATTGCATTCTATCTGGAGCGTTTCGAGAAGAAGGCAATCATGCGGTTTCACTGCCTGCTTGCTGAAATACGATTCCTGAATGAAGCAGAGGAAATTCATTCAGCCGCGTCCCTCCCTGTCTTTATCCCCAGTATGACTCCTGATTCCTTTCTGTGTGCCCGCATATATTAGGCTTAAACGTCCGTCTCCAATGGCCCTACATGTGTGGTGCAGGCGAGCACCAGCTGTGGCCCCCAATCTGCTCGACCAAAGCATTTAGACCCCTAAACGAAATGGAGAGAAAAGCAACAGCAGGCGCAGAGATGGAGATCATAGCTTGTTTCAGTTTGGCTGTCTGGATGCATGTTTTTCTTTATTTCTGTGTGTCTTTCCTTCACTATATCACGAGTTAAGACCCATCTGCCAGGACATCATCCATATTCCATCTGCATCCTTTAGCTTCATGTGACTGTGCCGCACTTTGATCACTTCTATTTAAATAAAAAGTCAACAAACAGGCTCAAGGCTCTGTGCTCTGTGTATTGTACATGTTTGCTTTGCATTCTTTGCACAGCAAATTACCCAAAAGTAAACAATGTTTCACATTAAGCTGCAAATGATAAAAGTTTTGAGAAAAGTTTGACTCCTAATGGCGAGGCAGAGATTCAGAGGACGAACGGTGATGTGTGAGCTGCCAGGCGCTCAACCTTTAAACTAAGAGCTGAAACAACGGCTTGATTCAAGCTCCACGTTTCCCCGCTGGTAGGGAGAGATCAGCGAGGGGCTGGAAATCATGAATAATTCAGGGATAATAATTTAAACTCGTTTCCCCATTTGTATGAACGTATCCTGTTTTTACTCAGTTTATAAAAGCCGTCCGTTTGTCAGGCACACAAAGCCATATTCCAGCTGATTGGATTTAAATAAACCACTGGGAGATTTGTAAGAACATTTTTTTCTTTTTTAAATAAAATTTGTTCAGGGACTGAAATTAACAGCTTACAAAAATAAAACAAAAAAAAAACATTACATATTTGTGAGTCTGGTGGGGAATATGGACGTGGTGATATTGTGCCAGAAATGAAAGTGATGAGAATTATTTCTGTTTTCTTTTAGGTAAATGTACTACTGTAACTGCATGACCGTCAGAGTCCTACAAACACAGATATTGATCTTGAAAATCATACCTATTAGTAATATTCAACACCAATCGTATAAAGAAGTGTGATCTGTATCACTAAGCTGCACAAAGCAACAACATTTAATCAGATTTTCAAATTTAATGACATTTATTGATAATCTTATTGAACAAACAGTGGAGAAAAAGTAAAACTAACCATTTTGTGGGTTTTTAAAAATTAATTTTAAAAATGTATAACCATAAATGGTGCATTAAATGTAAATGCCCACCTCTGTTTCAGATTTGTAATTCATTGCCATAGTTAAGTATTGACCAGAAAAGATGTGCAAAAAAAAAAAAATCTGAATTCCCAGAAACTACCTAAAACATGCCAGTAATCAGAAGGCAAATGTAAATGCTGCTGTGTGTAAATCAGTATAAATTCTCATGTGATGACAAAAATTACAGTTATAAATTCCTTAAAGGATCCACAACAAGTCGGCACAAATATGTTCTCATTTTCCTATTAACCAAAAAAGTTTCTGATTAGCTAATCAGGTGCATCTGATTCTGGCTGATGCTTTTCCTCCTAAATCCAACAGAGTAAGCAAGGGAGCTTTTCAACTGGACTGACAATCATGAACACATTCAATATCCCATGATTAAGTACTCTGTTTGGCATTCACTGTTCAATTAGATAAACATGAAAACCAAACTTGCATTTGTGAGCAGAATAATCCTTCTGAAACTCATCTCTAGAGCTGATGGAGCACATTTCTCATTTTGACATCTCATCTGAAGTTGGAGTTAAAAATGGGTCTCGGTCGGATCTGAGTCCTTTCTTTAACACGTCCTCCATTACTATATATGTTATTACTACATAAGTGTATCTTTGTAATGCATTATGAAAGACAGTTTATTTTCTTTTCACTGTTTTTCTTCCTAGTTATTCAATATCACACTTGCAGTTGATTTTTAGAAATGTGGCCTAACCTGGAGAGTTGTAGCTCCATCAAACCTAACAAATATCTAATATGAACAAAGTGCAGCATTCAAGGATTTCACTTTATTCTTCTTGCAGATTATGAACAAATCCGCACTCACCACCCAAACAAATGATCAACAACCATGGATTGTAGCTCACTTTCAGAACAATGCTTCACACACTTTACTTCATAGAAAAACAAAGCAAAGGATGAGATTCCAGGTTTTATGTTTTTAGACAGTCTGGTATAATTTTCCACTTAGGGTAGTCTTTATGTAATGTGGGCCAGAGTTACAAAATGTAAATGTAAAGAACTCTATAGTTATAATGCAAAAAGTTTAAACAATGAAAGCATTCAGCACTGTAACAAATATAGAGATCTAATCATTCTGACGTCTTTTTCTGCTGATATAGATGCACAAAAGTTTATTTTTTTAATTTGTGTTGATTGGAGTATCGAGTTTCATATATATTATTTGACATTTATCTTATTTTCCAGTTTCACAAGAAAACTGGATGTCTACAACTATGCAGCTTCACCTTGCTTCATTTGTGAAAAATATATTTGTGTGTACAAAACTCCATGCTTTTAAGTTTTAAAATACTAGTCAATTTTCTTCAAGTTGAAATGAAAATGTGGCAGGACTCGTTTTCATATCAAACAAATCATTTCCTGAGTAAACTTTGCCCAGTACCCCCTGCTGAGCAAAGGGTCTGTACTGATACAGCATGACATATTTCCATCCTCATGCAAGAGCTCATATTTAATGCAGAACTGACCCTGGAAATGTGTCCATATCCACTGGAATTTAATGCCAATGTCTTCAGATTATTTGTCAAATGTCTGCTTTCTTTTCTAAGAGCATTTTTTTTTAAATGCAGCTTGGGATGCTGAAATCAGAGCAATGCTACTTGACTAGCTCTTGGTTGCTGTTTGAAAAGCAGCCATTCCAGGAGTGCAATTTATTTTTCTCTAAAATGTTACAAAAAACTCTGATTGCGTATTGTAAAACTTCTAACACTAAATATACCTTGATGTGCATTAATAGAAACCACATTATCACTACTAGAAGCCGTCGTCTTCAGCGTTGGGAGTACAGCCGCTTAGCGCCAAGGGAAATTAAAGGCGCTCCTGAGGCGACTGTTTTGCAAACGCCAGCCAATAGCATGTCAAGCAGCATTATGCCTGGGTATTTCACCTTCCCAAGCTGCATTTTTAAAAATATTTTAGATATGCTCCACAAAAAAAAAAAAAATCTGTGAATAAGCAGAAAAATCCTTGAATATCTAGCAGCAAATAGTCAGGCTACACTTTATTCCCTTTGCTATTCATGCCTTAAAATCTCCCAGAATGACCTGGAGGGTGCGCCAAAGAAGACCCCCACAATCTGAGATTGGTTGGTTCTGTCTCTGTCCAAAGACCCCCACAGCGCTCAGCTGACTATGACTGCAGCTTTCTCAGCTGGCAGCTGAGACCAAAACTGGAACCCAACTATCCAGAACAATATTGTGCAAAATGGGGCAGGACAAAGGTCACACACTTTCTAAAATGTGAACCGCAGAGTACCAGCAGGCATACAAGATTAGCAGTGAGTGAATAGCCATTGTCAGCTGAAGTACTTTCAGTATTTCAACACTTCATTGTTGAAATACTCAACAGAAAACCTTCAGAATAAGAATTTGATGCAGTATTCACT